GTTTGTGTGTTTGATAAGTAACCATTCGATCTTATATCATCTACACTGGATATTTCCATAGTGAAGTAGATCATTAACAAATTCAGAGCAAGTTGTTGAATGGGAACTGAGCGACAGTAATACTAAAACTAATGTTTGTGCATGTCTAACAGAATGTCACAGCTAATCCCAACTCTCAATCAGACCAATAATCCGTAGCTCATCTGATTCAGTGATTGAGTGTTTTCTGAGTGTGTGCTCATTTTTCGTTTTTGTTCTTCTTTGTTATTTGTTTTCATCCTGAAACTTTCGACTTATTTGTCAGCTATGCAAGATACATTAATACCTGTGCACTATTGCCTTTTCATTTGGAGACAAACGGCTTCTCATCACTTTTTTCATTCATTTTGTTGTTTGCTCAAGCCCTAATGCGCTCCAACGGGGAACATTATTCAAGTAGAGTCGGCTGAAATATTAATATGTATAGTGCAGTTGAATATGAATACACAATCATTATACTATAGTTTACATGAGTAGAATTTAAATTTCCGAGAGAGTCGGATGTGAAACAGTTCATTCGACAATCGCCAGCTTGTGTTTGTACCGCCAATCAACTGATCGATTTTGTTGATCAGTTTCGGTTGAGCCGTGAGTATACGGTTGTTGAATACGACGTGAGTGATGAATGGTAGCCCATGTGATTAGTGAAGTTAAGTCAGANGTTAAAAGACCGATAGCTTTAAAAGTAGCGTTGAAACAAACTTACAGCCACAACGACGACACTATTGCCGAGCACAGCTGCATCTCTAGTAACGGCTGCGAATGCAAATCCGTATTCGTACGTTTTCGATACCCAAAAGTTGGACCGTTTGAGTGGTGGTGGTGCAGCTCGTGCACATCAGTCACTTCAAGACCTCAGTCAAGGTGTGCTTCAACATATCTACATGCTACTAGCTCTATATATTACTGTCTTGTCATGTCATCTTCTTGAATATCGTGCTCGTGTCGCCTACAAACGAATGTTGCCCTCGAACGGCGCCTCTAGGTATAGACATTGGCAAGCCGACGTTGAAAGTCCCCGTGCGGACTGCGAGACAAAATCGCTCCCGTGACTAACTCCACGATGAGTTCATGCCCCATATAAGTTTAGATTTTTGACTTGTAAACATGCGATTCGTTCCATTGCTACTTACCACAATCAGTGCCATGGAAATAGACGTGATTCGATGAACAACTCCATAGATGTACTGTTTTTGAGACTGATCAGTGGATTTCGTATCATTGGAACTTATTTCACGACTCTGCGATTACATTCCATCGTGTGCATGTGTGTTTGTATGTGCTGATTCTGTTAGTGAGTTGGTGTGTTTCACTGGTTTTTATTTGCATTTTTCGCATCATACATAGAACATTGACGAAAGCGGTGAAAGTGCGAGGTTATTGCTGGCTGGAATCATTGTCAAGTTCGGAAAAAGAGCAGAACGAACACTTATCTTCCTGGAATAAGACGTTTTGCAATCCTCGTCGATTAGCTGTTGATTATTGCACTGCTGCATCGATAGCGATGTGCGATCGCTCGTTCTCGATTGAGAACAGTGTACGGTTGTCTTATAAGCGGATTTTTCGATCTGATCAGCATTCGGAAACGTTAATCTGTATAGGTGATATATGCGAAAGTTGACGTCTGTTCATCCGGAACATCAGTTCGTCTGTTCTTTTCATTCCTTCTTACTGCAGGAAAACGTAATCGCATGCGACATTTAGTGCAACTTCATGAATGATTTTATAATCGCAAGCAATTTGTTTTGATGGAATATTATTTTTAGTATATTACCATTTGACTGTTATTACATGCTTTAATATATTTGGTACTGATGTGTACATATTGTGTTTGTGCGTTGATGTTTTCGTAGTGCTTGAACTTTTTTTCCACAGCTAATTAAGACGCATACAATAATGATATTACAATTGAAATCAGTATTATTTAAAAAGTTTTTAGTTTTCTTAAATGAGTAGTCAATCGCATCCATTGGAATCATCAGAAGGTCATGATGACCATTTTTCACTGTGTTTTTCTGAGAATCATTCGTGAGTGAGAATAAAATTCCGCATCTAATTTGTGAAAGAAAATCATTGATGTAGGGTGAACTTGGAATAGGGGAACAGATTTGAATTTTATGAAAATCGGCTCAAAGTTACAAATAATGACTCGAAGTAGGTGTCGTTATTGTGATGTGAGACGGAAAATTAGACATTACTTTCCATTCTGAAGCACTTGAAAATGCACGAAAAGAATGAGCAGTGATCAAGTTGATCTGGGTTGATCACATTTTTCGTGATTTCAGTCTTCAACGGATTCCAGTCGTACGCTCCGTTGAGTGCAGCATCCGGCCCGGGTGCCGGAGGCGCGGGTGCGGCGAATGCCGCAGCCAACGGTGCCCTTGCTCGAGGTTTCAACGTTGCGGCAGCCCAGGCTGTTGCGGCGCAACAGGCAGCACTCGAAGCGGCCGCTTTGTATGCAAGTGTCGGCGGTGGTGAGCCATTCCCGGCCATGTACCCACCGTTACATCATCAAACCGCACAATTGCCTCATGCCTTCCATAAAGTTTGACGTCCGTTCCTTTCAAAGGTCTGTTCCTCGTTCTTCAATTGTTCAACAGTGAGCGTTCACTGATTAACTGCTTTTCTTCTTTCAATTCCATCGGATTTTTCGGATGTGAAATGACGAATTTGAGCAATTCCAACCAGCTGATCTTTCTTCAAAAATCTTGACCCACAAGGAAAGTTTGTGACTCGCGAGAAAACTTCGCTATCGAACGGAATTTTTCGTGATTGGTGAATATTTTTTCGGGTTTCGAGTCTTTTATAGGTTAGCGAATCTTGCATTCGAACCTCTTTGAGCAATAGAGATGTTCAAAAGGACAATAGATGAGAGCGATATATGTTCACCTTTGCTTACAGTTGTTTTTCGTGCTGATTGATGAATTTGATGCTTTCGAACGATTGA